GAACCAGCTACATAACGGACCGGTCCAATCTGCTGAAAGAGGCAGAGCCACGGGAAGACCCACGGGGTTCGAACATTGAGCAAGCAGCGCCTGAAACCAAGGCTGGGCCGGCCACCAAGGAGCCAAGAGGACTACTCTCCCTTGGTAGTCTCCAAGCGAGTTAGGACCTGGAGTAACAGCTGAACCAGGGTGAAGAGGTACAGGAAACCCCACCGTGACCAGTCCTGCCTGAAGGCATCGACCCTGACAGCCTTGCAGTCGGGGAAGGGTGCCACATATAATGGGAGGCGCCCCATCCATGCAGATGCGAAGAGGTCCACCTCCAGGAGTCCGTACGCCCGGCAAAGCCAATTGAACGAGTCGGCATTGACCGTCCATTCCGTGGACAGTGGAATGAACCAAGACAGGCCATTGGACACCCCCCGAGCGTGAACTGCCAGGAGAGCCAAACACTGAGAACTCAGCACATGCGTCACCCAAAGCGACCAGCCCCAATGAGCCAAGGACAGCATCAAACCCCCACAATGGACCACTGGGGAGCAGTCCAAATGGAGTCTGACCATTTATCCGCGAGCAACCTGAACCCTACGAAGTGACAGCCACACCACCGCGAACTCCCACACCAAGCGGTGGGTCAGGATGGACAGACCTCACCGCCCCTGGCCGGTCCTCTGAGCACTGGTCACAAAGCCCCAGACTAGAGACAAGTCATCCATGAACACATTGAGCGAGGGCTCGGGTAGGCAGCAAGGCAGTGAACCCCAGAAAACCCGAAGAGGAAGTCGGCGACTCAGGAACCGATGCAAGGCCCCCAGAGGCTAAACCCAGCGATCGCGAGAGAGGCCGAAGGGATGTCCCCAAAGGAATCAGAACAGCCAATGAAGCCAAACCTGACCCGGTGGGTAGACCATCACTGCTAAGTTCAGGCTCCCGCACAAACCCTCGAGCAACCGCCACATGATCCGGGAGCCCCCAGAAACAGGCGAAGGTGGGACTGCTGCCAAAGGGCCTTCAGAGAACGAGACAAGACACTCTGAGAGTCCCACACAAGACCCAGCCAAGACCGAACCTGAGAAAGAATCAGATGAGACTTTTCCAGCTCACCAGGAACCCGAACCAGTTGAGCTGGGAAAAAACCAAATCCCTTGCGAGCAGACACACGGACTGGCTGGGAGCCCACACCAGCCAGTCATCGAGGTAGGCCAAAACCCAAATCCTTAAGAGAAGCAGATGGGACACCATGACCTGGGTAAGGTGTGTGAACACGCAAGGTGCCAGATTCGAGCCAAATAGACGGCAATGAAAATGATAAGCCTGATGCCCCATAACAAAACCAAGCCAGTCCCTGAACCCCAGATGAATTGGGACATGCCAATACACATCCCGGAGTCAAGGGACACCATCCAAGTGCCCGGTTCCAAGAAAAGACAGACCTGGGACAGTAGTCATCCGAAAGGAGGGGCAGGAGACCCAAGGGTTCAGACAGAACAAGTCCAGAATGAACTGCAGGTCTGCACCGGAATTCAGAACCGGAAACATGTGGGAAACTCACCCGCCAGCCCCGAACCCCCTAAAGGAGGAGGGGGCCACCCAACACCACCGCAAACCATCAGAAACGATACGAAGTCCATTACGAGCAGAACGATCACCGCGCTAACCAGCCGCCGTCAGTTTCGAAGGCTGTTCCATCCTCGAAATTAGCACCACTGGCCTACCACGACACGAGGATCCCCAAGCCCTGGCACAACCCTTCTGGGAAGACCTCCCCACAGGTCCCCTGGAGAACAAACAAGTTCGACATGGGACGGCAACCGGAAGAAGCTACCTGCAGATACTGCACCACCGCAGACTCTGCAAACAGCAAAGGGCAAACAGCAAAGGATAAACAGGAAAAGAAAACTTAAGAATCAGAGCCCAAGTGGATTCCAAGGATTGAGCGATCACCGCCTGCCGACACGCGAGAAGAGAAACAAAAAACAGACACCGCATCCCGCAGGATCAACGCAAACAGCTTCAACAGGGCAGACGATGCCCGCACTGTCAAAACCAATGCATTAGAACCAGAATCGGTCCCAAGCACCTCCACGTCCTCCTCAAGTCAATTCAAAGACCGCTCAAGAAGGGAAAGAACCGTAAGACCAACACCAAAAGGCCATGGGCGCAAAAATCCTCGGCAACCAGGGAAACCAAAAGGGTGGGAAACTGCATGTTAAGCTGCACAATGCTGACATCCCGAGGAAGGGCAGGAGCGAACAAGCACGCATTGAGGTGCACATAGTTGTCCCCCAGGTAAACCTGAACCACCATAAGAGCCTCCTGCACCTCATGAGGCAGGATGCAAGAGGCCAAAAACCTCTGGAAGGACTGGACTGAAGCACACAAGGAAACACAGAACCGAATCCGGGGAAGGGTCGACCCCATATGAAACTCGTACAGGGAGGGAAGATAACCTACTCAAATCTCTGAATATGTTAGATATTAAGTCATTGCACATTCTCTCATGTGTATTATACATATATAAAACGCTGAACTGTAATGCCAATCCTGACCTCAAAAGATTCATTGAAGGTTGTAACAAAACCCATGAGCACCACACCAGAAATAAATACAGTTTTGATATTCCTAGAGTACGACTTAATCATACTAGAAATGCTCTTCAAATCAAGGGACCCAGAATGTGGAATGATCTTCCCAACCATGTTAAAGACTGTACCTCTCTCAACCAGTTTAAGATAAAAACGAAGCACTACCTAATAAATTCCCTGTAACCTACCTTACCCCTCTGTTGTCAACCCATGTATGTTTCTTTTTTTTTCCTTTTTTTTTTTTTAAAACAACGCTGTTTGAATGTAATTTTCTGTATTAATTTGTAATTGTATTTGTGCTACTTTTTCAACCATGTTCCCTCCTCTTTTACCTCTATTTTTATTTGTTCTCAACACATTTTATTCTTTTTACCCATTAGTTTTAAGCTTTAGTCATTAATGTTTTTCCTGCCCGAAACGCTTTGCGTAATAGATAAGAAAACCCTACTCCCTGTAACAAGCCTTGCTCAGAGAGTACCAAAAACCAAGCGGGGTGAAATGGGCCCAAGCCTCCCAAGTCAACCCCTCCACCTGCCCCGGGAACCTCCACATCAGGACCCGGGGCCGAGCCGTCCTCCAAGCCCCCTGCCTCAAAAGAAAAGGCAGAAGCCGCCGGAAAAGCTGGAACAAAGAGGGCCCACTGGTCAAACCCAGAAGCACCAGCTGAAGGAACAGGCTTGAATGCCTCCATCGTCACACAGGAAGGGGCATCCCCTGAAACTGCCAGAGTCTCAACACCAACTAAACCCTACCCCGACTCCGAAACCCTCAGACGCATCGGAGCTGGAAGCAGGGGGGGAGGGGGGAGGAACAAAACGAACAACAGCAGGGGAAGGACAAGGAGGGCACTGACGAAACCAAAGTCGAAACGACTAACACCCCCAAATCTGGGTCCCTATAACCAAACATGGGGCAGTCTCAGGGCTTCTGGGTGAGCATCCAACCTAGCTCATTGCAGCAACCTAAAACGCGTATGCAATGCCGTAGCTGCCTGCACCTGAAGATCATTATCAGTGGACTGGGTGTACTGGAGCACAAACAAGGAACAAAACTCGCAGAACTCCAGGTTGAAGGTGTCACCGACCCAACAGGCAGCATGACGGAGGCACAAACAGTGAGTGTCACCCTGGGACAAGTTGACAGAGCAACCTTTAAACTAGTACGAAGCAAGATGGGACTCGAGGGACGCCTCCATCAGACCACTGAGCCACATGGGGTTTTCCAGGGCCCTTTGTCGCGTATTCTCACTAGGGGAAGCCTAGACTAGGTACTGCTAACCAGCGCCAAAAATTACCAAAACAAACTCCAAATTGCTGAACTCACAGGACATGTACACTCACGGGTACCTAGTAGAGGACCACCAAGATATAATTGGGTGAGGACCAAAACCATGGGGTAGACCCCCACCAGGCAGGAAAACAAAAACAATAAAAAAAACAAAAAATCTCGCAGGAGCACAACGTGCCCAGGCGGAACAGAGCCTCCCACTATGAGTAGATGACAACTAGCTGCACAATACCTTGCATCCCAACCAGTGACGAAAACTACCTCCTTCCCAGAGGCAAAGATTGGTGCATGAAGCACCCCAGTTGACTCCAATGGAAGGTAATCACCGAGCAGCAAAAGCCCACAGCAGAGGTAGACCCCAAAAGTGACTTGTGGAAGGTAACCCCAAGCTCCATGGGCAGTATTTACAGGCAGTACTCTAGGGCTACCTGCCTAGGGAAGGTAACCCTAGGTGCATGCAGACCGAGTACTAGTAAAAGTACTCTTGGCTCGCACACCACCACAGGACAGGACCACATCACAAGGCACAGCACTGGAAAATTCAGAGCCAGAGTCGCACAACCGTCCAGGAAGCACATCAGCCACAGAACTGGTGTGTGGATAGCCGGCACAGGGGTCTGGGGCTCTCCTACCCTCTCCCGGGGAGGGGGGAAGCTGCGCAGACGACGGCACTATGACGGTTGTGACGTCATGCTCGTTTGCTCATTTTTCATTTGGGGAGTTCTGTCCAATAGTTCGGCTTCCAGTAGCAATCTTTTAACCAGAATAGAGGTTTGTTTTGGGACGCCTACTTTTCTGGGTGCCTTACCCGGTCAATGGCAGACATAGAATGCTTTCAACCACACGGGGGTTTCTATAGGTCATTGCTCATCGTGCCTTTCTGAGGGGAGGCCAGGTTCTGGCTCGTGGTCCCCGTTAGGCCTAGAACTCCATTTGCTTGACTGATACCAGGGTCTAATACGTTCATATCAGTCCAGATAGCTTTGTGAAGCAGAAGGGGCTTCCCCCAGAAAGTTTCCTATATATAAAGTCAACTCCCATCTTGATGTGTCTCCATGTCAAAAGTGTTTATATAGAGGCAATACTACACACAGTTGGGTGAGAACAATGTGACCTTCAGCAGCGTACCTTCACTGAGGTGTGGACAGTCTTGACATCTGGGAAGAGTTTCTGGCACTTCTGGAGCCAATCTTCTATCTTCATGCTGCACTCATCAGCTGTGTCTATGGTTGTGCCAACCTCCTGTGGGGTGTTGACTGTGTCGAGGCTCCCCAACATGGCCTGCAGCTGAGTCTTCCCTTCCTCTCCTTGTGTTGTCATATCCACCACACTGGTATCCTCCAGTTCCAAGAGCTTCATTGCTGACTTGTTCTGCTCTACCAGAGCATAGAGTCTGTCCTGGAGCTGGAGGTGGTGAGTCTTCCAGTCCCCCAGCTGCCCCCGGTACTCCCCCAGCTGGGACAGTACCTCTTCACAGCTAGTAATGAGGCTGCTGATGATGCTCTTCTGCTCCTGCACCAGGGAACGTAACTTCTTGCTGATTCCTCTCGCAGGAGTTTTAATGGGTTTTGCTGGTACTGTTACCCCTGGTGCAACCTCGATACCTTTTAGTTTTCTGATAAGGGCTTCCATACCATAATTAATTGGGAACAGAGTAGCAGCTGTGGCAGCATGCTCGGCACGGCAGCTGGGGCAGGTCAGCTGACCATTCTTGATAGCATTGTCAATACACTGGGAGCAGAATGTGTGGCCGCACGGCAGTGTGCGAGGCCGTAGCTGATTGTCGTCATAATCGTTATAACACACTGAACATTCCTCTGGTTTGTTATCCTGTGGAAAAGAATATTTGGTTAAGCTAGATGTATTTGCAACAAAAAGTAATATTACAGTACTGTACTGTATTTATCAATACAAATTATATAATATTTACATAATTTCCTTGTACAGAGGAACCTCAATATTTGCACTGCTTCCAATTCACACGTTACAGTATTCAGACACTGTGTTCATGTTCGGTATTCATCCGTTTGCACGGCATTCAGAAGTAAACATGCATCCCTGATGCTTCAGTTTCACCATAGCTGTTGTTCACTACACAACCCACTACACTTTTCTCTGGGATATTTTGGATATGTTTGATATTCTTAGTGTAAATAAGTCGCCATGTCACCTATGAGGGTTAGTGATAAGGGCCAAGCAAAAAAAAAAAAATAAGTTATATTCTTCATCATGATACAGATGAAGAAAGAACTCGTAGCTGAATATGAAAGTGGTGCCCGTGTGTCTGCTCTTGATACAGAGTTTGGTATTCCTAAATCTAGTTCTCTAATAAAAGGAATGTGTGCAAAATGGCAAACATTTTCATGAAAATTATCACCCTGACAAACCGTGTTATAAACCTGCTGAATGACAATGCCATGTCTCACTTTAGAAACATCTTAACCACTGGGCTGCTCGGCTTCCGAATACGGCACCCCCTCCCCCCCCCCTATGCGTAGGAAATAAATTCTCTGTTTTTTTTTTTTTTTAAAGTATCAAAAACCTTTCCCTGAGTATGGATATGTTAACAAAAAGTCGAAATTGTACAGGGGTACCTCGGTTTAAGAGTTTAATCCGTTCCTGGAGACAGCTCGTAATCTGAAAACTCGTAAACCGAAGCTAATTTCCTCATAAGAAATAATGGGAAATGAATTAATCTGTTCCTGACTACCCAAAAACCTCACTTCAAACTAAATTTTACACCTAATTCATATAAATCTTCACTACAAAAGTATGTTCAAGTTATTACTTACCCTTGCTGATGACTACTGTTGGTGTATGGAAGATGGTGATGAGGGGGAGAAGGAGAGGTGTTACTGTTTGGAAGGGGAGTCCCCTTCCATTATAACATTAGGCAGTGAGGACTTCTCTGGTGTGCACTCTCTGGCATGCTTTGCCTGCATACCACCTGGACCTGCTTGTGGCTCACTGCTTGCTTGTCTTACTAAGAATCTGTCTAAAGACACTTCTTTTTCCCTACATTTTAACACTTGACTGTAGTAAGACATCACATTGTTATTTAAAAGGTCAATGCAACGGCCTGCTACAGCTTTTCTGGTTGAGTTTTTTCAACAAAACTTAGCAGTTCTTCCCATACTTCACACATTCTCTTAATGAGGAAGGGACATCCTCTACTGCCTCTACTCACAACTATTTTCTTAGGTTGAACCTTACCACTGGCTTTCTTGGGACCCATTGCGAGATATATAATAACAACTTTTATGCTCAAATGGCCAAATATTCGACAAAACACTGTAAATCCTTGTGAAGAATTGAGGCGGGATAGTCACTGGGCACGAGGCACTGGTAAACTGAGTGGCGATCGCCGTGCCACCATGCGCTAGGTCGGCCTGTACGAGTATCAACACCCTCGTATTCCGAGGCAACGCTCATATTCCGATGTAAATTTTCCGAGCAAATCCTGCTCGTAATCCGTTAACAGGGAAAATCCGCGTAAACAGGGACGCTCGTACTCCGAGGTACCACTACTTACTTTGGCTACTAAGGTGTCCGTCAGTTCGCGCGTGATGTCATCAATCCCCGGTCGCCTGTGGCATATGCTCCCAGGGCCAGTAGGGTGCCCGGCTCAAGATGCGTGAGTTGCCACGAATATATTTTTATTCACTTTTTGCGCTCAGCTCCCAGTCTCCGTGGTGTAGTGGTAAGACACTTGCCTGGTGTTCCGCGAGCGCTTTGTCATGGGTTTGTATCCTGGCCGGGGAGGATTTACTGGGCGCAAATCCTTAACTGTAGCCTCTGTTTAACTCAACAGTAAAATGGGTACTTGGTTGTAAAAACAATTCTTCGCGGCGGGGATCATATTCCAGGGACCTGCCAGAAACGCTGTGCGTACTAGTGGCTGTACAAGAATGTAGCAACTCTTGTATATATATCTCAAAAAAAAAAAAAAAAAAAAAAAGGTTACAAATACATTTCATTTGTTTTTTTCGTGCCAATCCTATGTATAATGAACATGTACACTATATTATGGCAGTAGAACATCCGTACTGTCCGAAGACACTGAGATACGTGCATGGCACACGTGTACACATATCTTGCACATACTTCTAATGTATTAGGCTAATTTATGTATATATACAATCTATTTACATACTATACACTATCACACACTATATACACACACCATGAACACACTCAGAACTCAGCGAGTGTCAGCTGCCACATCCAGCCAGTCCTCCCTCACTCCTTCAACATCGTACTCACCATCACTCCTCCTCCCACCATACTGTTACTCACAACAATGTTTCATGTTCATTTATGTATATTTACAACATATTTACACACTATACACTATCACACACTATATACATTCACCATAAACACACTCAGAACTCCGCAAGTGTGAGCTGCCACTCCCAGCCAGCCCTCCCTCACTCCTCCAACATCGTACTCGTCATCACTCCTCCTCCCACCATACTGTTATTGTTTTTATTACACTATTTACACATGTTATGTATATGTATCTACATGTTTTATCCACCAGAACTATGCAAGTAAGCTGGTATTGTGTCCAAACAGCACAGTGGCCACCATACACTGCATGAGAAATCACACAGCAGCCAGCAGACGATGCTACTATTATGACGTCACCTCCCTCACCAAAATAGCTCCTCCCAACTTACTCCTGTTGCTGTTATTACACTACAAACACACATTCTATATATCCATGTACATATGTGTTCACCATAGCGAACCACTAAGCTAGTATAGTGAGCAAAACAAGAGTGGCTGCCCCACACAGTGACGCTATCTGGATTCTCTCCCTCCCTCACCAAACTTCCTCCTTTCACAATACTACGCACAGCGCTAATTATCACCAAAATCCAGCTATTCTCACAATCCTGGCCACTAAATCCTGTAAATGAATAACTGACTACAGCTTTTTTTTGTAAAGTAACATAAGAAATCGTTTGAAGGTTCCTAGATGGATGAAATAATGCTGTGGTGCTGTGGCTAGCGCTGTGAACATCATGAACAGCATTGAATCACTGATATTTGAACATTGTACCCAGTCATTATCACACTCAGGCTCTTCTATAATACTATCATGGCTAAATAATACAAGTTATATATATATTTTGACATTATTTGGTGATGCTGTGGTCACAAGCTGAACAGCAGTGCTGTGAGCTCATGATGCGTGTGCCAGCCTTGGTTGCTCACTCACTACTGAGGCTCTCACACCCGGGAATGTTGCCCACGATTTTTTTTAAAGATGGCATCTGTTTATAAGAGCCCTGAGGAAGCTGATGTGAACCCCATGTAGCCGCGGGAGTTTTGAATTATACGCTAAAAATATAAAATTCCTGGAGGCGCGTTGCACACCCCCCGTCGAGGGCCTGCAGGCGTGTTGCGCAGTTGAGGGGTTAACCCTTGTATGGCGCCTGGCTATTTAGCACGTGTCACTCACAGGCGCATACCAAAAAAAAAAAAAAAATTTATTTTCTTCTAAACCTGTTAATTTGTGTTCACTGATCATGGGAAAAATAATAAAAAAATCGTAAGTGGCATATATTGCCCGCTATAGGGAGGGAAAGTCTGGCAAAAAACAGGCGCTGACTCAGCGTGCGTCCCAGACGTTTTGTTGCTTGCCAGCTGTCAGGCCGGAGTTGCCACAAAGAGATAATTACCTAATTATTTCAATGTCTCTGATTGATTTTTCGTAGTTTTTTTGCTGTAATATTATTCAATAGTGTGTAGTGTGATATATTTATATAATAAAATAAGTGAATCATCACTGTACTCAAAAATATGGTGTGCATATTGTTGATTCAATTATGTTCATCAAACAGTGAACAAATACTTTGTCGGTTATTACACTATATACACAGGTTATATATAAGTATCTGCATGTTTTGTTCACCATAACGAACCACTAAGCTGCTATTATAAGTCAAAAAGTATCGAGAAGTGACTGCCACACACCAGCCAGCCACTCACTCCCTCAACACCTCACTTGCCCACATTCTCCTCCCACCATACTGTTTTTGCTTTTATTTACTATATACAGACGTTATATATAAGTACTGTATTTACATTCGTGTTCACCATAACGAACCACTAAGTTGGCATGCTGAGTGGTAGTGCCAGTGGCAGCCCGCCACTGGCTGCTACTTGCTCCCTCCCTCAAGTCACCTGACTCACCCACATTCTCCTCCCACAATACTGTTTTTGCTTTTATTCACTATAGACAGACGCTATATAAAAGTATCTACATTCATGTTCACCATAACGAACCACTAAGTTGGTATGCTGAGTGGCAGTGGCAATGGCAGCCAGTGGCAGCCTGCCACTGGCTGCCTCTCCCTCCCTCCCTCACTTTACCTGACTTGCCACCATTCTCCTCCCACCATTCTGTTTTTGCTTTTATATACAGACGTTATATATAAGTATTTACCTTTTGTTCACCATAACTGTACATCTAAGCTTGTATGGTGAGTAAAGGCACCAAGAGGTAGCTACTCACACAAACTGGTGGCGGCCGCCCTGGCCAGACGCACTAATATTTCTCTCCAACACTACTTACGCTATATACACACATTATATTGCTGTTTTATTCACCATACTTGTACAAGTAAACTGGTATGGTGTCTATAGTGGTCACAGTAAACACATAAGTCGTGCAGACGATGCCACCTTCCTCACCAAAATGGCGGCTCCCAACCTTCTCCTAGTTTATACCCTCTATACACACGTTATATAGAAGTATCTACATTTGTGTTCACCATAGCGAACCACTAAGCTGCTATGGTGAGTGCAGTCAATAAAAG